CTGCCCAGGGAAGTGGTTGAGTCCCCATCCCTGGAGGTATTTAAAAGACGGGTAGATGAGGCGCTTAGGGACATGGTTTAGTGGGCATGGTGGTGTTGGGTTGACGGTTGGACTCGATGATCTTGGAGGTCTCTTCCAATCTTAATGATTCTATGATTCTATGATTTCCTGCTGCTAACCGCAGAACCAAGCTGGGAACAAAGTCATTTTACCAAAAGGAGCAATGTAAGGAACAATACCTTAAAAAGCCAAGCAGGATCAGAATCCTGAGGGGGAAGGTGTGAGGGCACTGGGGTATGTGTGAGCATCATCTCATGGAGCAAGGGTGTTCCTGCCCAGGTGGTGGGCGTCCATACCGTCAGTTGTTCTTCCTCATCGTCACAACGGTTGAAAGTTGCTTTAAACATTTTTCTTTTGCTTCTTCACTCCTGATCCCTTGTCATCCTCCTCCTTGCTGCCACTGTGAAATGAATCTCGGGTCATAGTGACAAATGTATTCCCAGCCTGGGAAGCAGATGCGGGATGTTTAGCGCCCGTGTTTTATTCAGTATTTAGTAACGGATATCGCGGACACCTCATTCATAAGACAGGTGGAAAAGGTGCCAAGGCAGGTTAGACCTGAAGGTCTGGCTAGTCAATCATTCTCCATCAGCCCAGAGCAGAGTCGAGGGGAAGACAGCGTAAGAAACAGGACAACTTTAGAGTGATTCTTCCCCTGCGTATCTTCCAGCTTTTAGCCTTCAATAGATTAGCTACTTCCTAAACCTCATGATGCTTTTAATTACTGCAGACTGCGCAGGAGGTCTGGTCCTAGTAAAAAACTCCCTAATTGCCTCCTCCCAGGGCCAGGACCGGGACCGGGACCCCACCGCCGGGACCGGGGCCAGGACTGGGACCGGGACCCCCAGGGCCGGGACCGGGACCCCCGGGGCCCGCGCAGTGCTGCCGTTCGAAATAACTCCTACCGGCTAATAAGCCCCTGATAATTTTCACTGATGCCCAATAACCTTTGCAAGTTTTCTTCGGTTTCCTTTTATTTTTTAGAAGGGTACAAGGGAAGCGTCGCTCTGGCTGGGGGGGAGGAGGAGTAAAGCCTTCGGGTAACTCAAAGCCCCCGACCTCTCTGATTTTTGTAGATAATTTGATGTATACACTCAGGTCAATACCAGTTTAACTCGTACAGTACACTTCACATTTTTCATCCATCCAGCCCCTGCAGTTTCTTCTATATCAGTAACAGCTCCCCTTAAAAGCCAGTCATGAGTATACTGTATATTTTTAAATCATTCAAGATTGCTTTCTTCTGCCATCTTCTGGCAATATGAAAAATCACAGCGTTTCAGTAACAGCAGTGCTGCTGTGCTGCTCTAAGGCAAGGGCCGTCAGTAAAGGCAGGGTATAATTAGATCAGTCGGCATAATTAGAAAAAAAATATAGCCCTTCTTGCTTATTTGAAAGCTTGCCTGATTCTTCCAGCTCTACCAGTTGATCTAGCAGCAGTGGCTCCGGGGTTATCCCAGGGCAAAATCTCTGTTCTGTAGACCTCGTGTTTCCTGAATGTCTCTAACAGCAAAGGAGAGTTGCATAACGTGCGAGACTTTATCGTTTCATAACAGGACTTCAGTGAGCGTACCCTAAATATTTTGAAGAGAGTCCTTTTTGCCAGTTTTGCTCTCGGCTCTTCGTAGCTCCTTGACAAAAGACATCTTTGTTTCCTATGAAATCACAGGAAGACCGTGTCCGATAGGCACGTAAAGATTTTCCTTCTACTGCAACAACCATTTCTTTCTGATCTGTCAATGTAAACACCACAAATCACGCCAAAGCACCTTGCGTTTTATTTGCTTAATTGTAAAACAAAACATTTTCAGTATTTTGTTAAAAATGTATGTAAGATTTAGATAAGATTAAATCATGGTTTCTGGGGTTTTGTTCCCCTTTTCCTGCAATCACACAGAGGTTCTTTGTAAACGACTACTTGTGATCCCCACTCTCGCGTCACAATAGCGTTTCCCACATAGTTTTGCTAAAAATATGAAAGTAACGTATGATAATTAAAAAAGGAAAAAATCCAAAAGGAGAAAATGCCAATATTTTTCCTTAAAATAAACTCAAAATTCAAAGCCGGTGCGAAAAACTACTCGCAAAATTCCAGCCTGCAAAGATAACATAAATAAAAGCTGTTCAAAGCTTTGTTCATTTTCACTAGCACCAGCAAAAATGACTGCTTGGGATGCCAGGCGTTGGAGCGAAAGGATGTTAACGCTATTTATAGCTCACGGATGGCTCCCGTTACCATTGTACCTGAGAAGCTCGCAGTCCTTAATGTATTCCTGCTCACAGCAACTTTCTCAAGCAGAGGACAGCCTTCCCAGGGCTGTGCTGGAGGCACTGGGGTTTAGCTTTGGGGAAAATGGACTGTTATGTTTGCAGCCTGTTCCCAAGCTGTCTATTATAAACCGCCTCCAGCAGGCACAACCTCCAGCAAGGCTGCACCCCTCCCTGATACCTGTGCTTGACTCACCCTCTTGGGAGCCATGAGGCTGCCGCTTTGCTGGAGGCTCTTCCTCCCTCCATCACCCTACCGGCTTCGGCATCGATCTACAGTCCACACCGAGCCTCGGCAAGAAACAGCGTCAGAAAAACAACAGCATAAAACCCGACAAGATAAAGGTGAAAAAAACCCTTCAAAAACTTGCAGGCACATAACAACCCTTGCTCCTGCCCTGCCTGACCAACCGGCCCGACTCAGGTGGCATCAACGTGATACCTGGGGAGTAGGGCAGCACTGCACTGCCGGCTCCTCGCAGAGGCAGCGCAGCGGCAGGGCCTGCCAGGGAAACTCCTTCCCACAAGCCAGCAAACGGCAGAGCAAGCTCTCCCAGTGACCCTGGGACTGGACATCTCACGGAGCAGCAAGCGCGTCCCCCCTGCCCTTGGCCCCTCATCCGTCACAGCCCGGAGAGGTGGCTGCGCACGCCGCTTTACCCACGCCCCCTGACTAGGCAGCTCCCTGGGTGCTTGCACTCTGCTTTACCTGGTACCCCAATACCAGGGAGGAGCAACAATAAAACCCCCAGCTTTATTTCTTCAAATTCAAGATAAGAAATTAATCGGACACACAATCTAAAGTTTGCAAGAGAAGGTAAACCCCAGTTCTAGGTGTTAGTATCTCCTCTTAGCTGTTCTCATACACCTCATCAGTGGTCAATTCCTTTGATACAAACTATCACCCTACTTAAAAGATGACAATAAAAAAAAGAAAATAATGATTTTTAATGTCAGCAATTAAAAAATCTAAAGAAAAAATATCCTGCTCTGCCCCAACAAAGCTGTGTCCCTTGAAAGCTCTGTGATGTGCCTGAAAAAATTTAAGTGCCAAAATAGATCTTCCACTGTAGAGTTTTGACGTCTTTTTGCTCTTGATTCTGCTGCAAAGAGTTTGTACAGCTTTGTCAACCTTAGAAAAAGGTGCCTTTCTCATATGTACCCTTTCAAAGCAAGGCAAGGCAAGGCGAGCACTTCACTGCTTACGTTAAAAGTGCAGGGAGAGACAGCTCAAAGATACCACTGCCAAACGACTGAGGAATATCAAAACCCCTTTACTCGTGCCTTCGAATATTCTGAAATCTTGCAAGCTTGACAGCATTGTCAATTTTGTATTGACAGCAGCAGTCAGAGAAAAATCATTTGAGGAGTAAATCAAGGAGAAGAAAAAAAACCCACTTTAATCCACAGTCACACAAATCCATACTGCCTGCAGAAGGGCAAGTGCTTTGGAGCGCCTTTTAATAGCAATATATTAACATCCTTGTTTGTCTTTCCTGAAGCTTGCAAGGCATTTTTCCCTCCCCTCTTTCAGACTCCGGTCTCTTCGACACCATTTATGTCAGAACTGCCCATGACTTACACCTATCGACAGCCTGTGACACCGACGAAACCTCGGCGCAGCGCTGGCTGTGACAGCACTCACTGGACTGTTACCAGTATCAAGGTCACTTTGTTTTTCTTCCTCTCGCTGGAGCTCCTCTGCCCTCGGGGCACGGGCTGCCCAAGGAAGGTTTCTGTCTAAGCTCCTCACAAGGCACAGCCTCTCTGCTCCATTACTGGCGTTATATAAGATTAGAGTGAAGTTTCTACTATTAGAAGCAGTTAGCTGCACGGTGACTGCGTGCTCTCCCGATTATAGCATGCAGCAGAGTTATGGCTGCTGGCAGCAGGACTTAAAACTACAGCTACTTTAATTCAGGGAGAAGCATGGGTGTAGTCGAGATGTGTCAAGAAAAACAGCAGTTTTGGGGTATTTTAACTCCTAGCAGTGGTACCCTGGACAGAAGTGCCCCAGAAGAGAATTAAAGGGGAAAGCGTCACCCTAGGCATGACAGATATCCAGAGCCGAGTCGGAAATTATGGTAGGAGCCTGTGGAGGGCAGCGCTGTCTTGCTGGGGATGGTGCATTGAATAGCTCAGAGATGCCAGCTGCTAAGGTAATACTTCTTTTTTTTCTCTCCCCTTTGAATCTGAAAGCTGCAGATGTAAAAGCTGTCATCCTGCCACAGCCATGGCCTGTCACTGCAAGCAGGACTCCCCGTTTTTCCACCCGCCGCCCCCATTCTCCAAGCATCCTTTCCTGCAGCGTTAGTCCCGTGCGTGGGCAGGTGCCTCTTCCTCGGCCACATGGCTCTTAAACAGGAGGCTTGGGGGAGGAAGGCTGGAGCTGGGGGGCTGGAGGCAGCATGGAGGTTCTCCCCCCTTGGAAAGATACGGTCTTGGGAAAATATGTGCAAATCGGTTGCATCGCAAAAGAACGGAAATGCTCTCCAGGAGCACTTCCATGAGCTAGCAATAACGTCCTCTCCCCAAAAACCAGCAGGGCACAGGTGAATTTCCCCCGCTAGCCTGAATCCTGCTGGCAGAGCCACGAGCCTGGCTCGGCAAGCTCCCCCCCCTCTTGGGGGCTTGCCTTGTCCAAGGCCAATGGTGGCCGTGTGACTTTAGATAGGGCTGCTGGAAGGAGCTGCGTGAGAGTGAGCGGTGGGAGGCCTCGCTGCAGCTCCCCACCTCGCTCAGGAGCCCATCTGAGCTGAGGCACTTGGGCTTCATCTCCACCTGCGCTACCTCGCAGCTCTGCCCGTGCCTGGCCAGGCACCCCCTTGACTTCCCGCTTCGCCGGGGACCTGCCTCACCACCGCGGGCTCTCCCGGCTACCCGAACCCCCGGCTGAGGCTGGTTACCCTCACCTGCCCTGTCCTGTGACTGCTCCCACTCCTGAAACAGCCTCGCCTGTCCCTCCCCTCCCCAGGTGCTCGCAGCTCCCCGGGGCGGGGTGGGTAGCGGCGGGCGGTTGCGGAGGAAGAAGCCTTTTGCTCTCCAGCCCAAGCTCAGGCTCCTCGCAAGCAGAAGTTGGTACCTTCCAGCTCAGTTTGGAGGAGCCAGAGGGCCCCATCATAAATGCGCCAGGCCGGATGTGAGCGGAGGAAGGAAGGAGAAGGAAGGAGACCAAGCAGCGAAGGGGTGTGAAGACTCAGATTTTCTCCCACCCAGTAAAACACGGCTGCTGGCGTAGGGCGAGGGGCATCTGCGAGGTGAGCTGAGCCGAGGGGGTAGCCGTGGAAGAGGCTTGCAGGGCTGCTCCTGCTCCTTCCCGACGCTGCGGTTAAAGAGAGGGCTGTGTTTTCCAGAGCCCTCGATCTGGCATCTTTCCCGGGTAGTAAATTTTCTTAAAAACCGAACCAAACAGAGCTTTAATTGTACATTCTGCTTTTCTCTTCACTCCGGAATAATGGCAATGGCATTAATACAGTGCTGCATTGAACACGTACCCGCACTGAGGCCGAGGGACCGATTCTGCTTTCCATTATTCAGGGGCACTGCCTCTGGTGAGGCAGATCAGGGTTTAAACAGCGAGCAGGAGCAATGAACTTCTGCTGTTCCCTGCTGTTTGAGTGTGGGCAAAATAAAAGGCCATAATATATGATGCAGTCAGCCAAGAAAGCAATATTGCTCTGCCATGTGCACGGTCTACACCGAGACGAGTCCAGGATCTCATTTCTAAATTCCCATAGGTGCCTCATTTAAACCATCAGCCATAACCTGCTTCTCATTTTCAATACCACTTGGTATTAGAGCTGCAGTGAACTGCTGGTGAGAGATTCTAATTCCTGCAAACAAGCCCCTGTAGGCTTGCAAGGAAAACAGAGAGTTCCCCTCTCGGTTGCCTGCTAGGTTCCCATCTGGCTGTTTTAACTTCGCTATTGCTTTTAAATGTGCCTGTTTCTGCACACGAGGCTTTCAGCTCTACCTCAGGAGACTCCTGGGTTCTCTTAGCGTCAGATTCTGGCCAAAATGTAGAGACACAGATTGGGTCTTCTTAACAAAAAGGAAGATCAGATTTCACATTACAGTATCTGAAAGATTAATTCCACTTACGTGATCATTTCCCTGTGAACCACACTTCTTTCCATCTGGATTTTTCCATCAGGAGGACAAAGAGCCATAGCGTTAAACACTACCTGAGAGAAAAGAGCAAGGAGTGTAAAAGATAAGTGCAGAGAGGCTTGCTGAGAGAAAAGAGAAGAAAAAAACAGAGTAGAGAGCAATTTCAAATGCATCGAGAGGCTGCTTCTTTTTTTTTTTCCCACGTGAATTATACTCTGATCTCATGCTTTGGTATTTTGAACCATTTAGTTTGTCAGGTTTTGATTCAGGGAATTTATGATATTTGGCTGCAGGAGCTTTCTGTATCATGTTATTGTTATCTAGTGTTTGTGTTATTGTAGTGACCGCAGGTCCAGCCAAAATCAGTGCCCTGCTGTGCCCGAGGCTATCCGTAATCTCGTGTTAAGACCTTGTTATTGAAAGACACCTGTCCCCACCCGGGCTACCATCATAACCACAAGCAGAGCTGTGCCAGCTAGGAAGGTGCTAGCGAAAGGGATAGAGGAAAGATGACTTGGGGCCCAACTAACGCCCTGCCACGGACTCCGCTTGGGACTTCAGACGGTCATTTAATCTCTCTACAGCTCAGCTCGGTCTTTAGGAGGCAAGGTAACAACCATGGCAAAATGGCAAGAGGATTTCCCCCTGTTGCAGAAGTAAAAGTGAAGGCTAGGTGAGCAAGTGGCTGCTCAGTTAGTTTGTGTTCATTTTTAGTTAAACAAACCATGTTTTTCTCAACCAGGAACAAGCACTTCATCTTGTTTTAATATTTTAAAAGATTTTATGCAATGCTAAAGTAAAATTCCAAACCAGAAGTAACTCTGAATAGAAAAATGGAAACGATAATTTTTTTGGAAATACCAACATGAACTATTTCAAATCTACAATATTGGAGCGTGTGTTTTTTCCAGAACTTTGCTGAGTTTTCTTTGACTGGAATCCGCAAATGCAACACAAATCTGTTAAATGCTTTAGCCAATTCAAGTCAGTGGGGGTTGTGCATTTTTATATTTTCTTTGCCAGAAAAATCTTCGGTAGAAAACGGCAATTGTTTCCAGTGTAGAAAAGTTTAAAAAAAAAAAAAAAAAAAAAAAGGGGGCCTTGCAGACTGTACTACTCCAGTGGCTGGATAACATCAGGGAGATACAAAGCTCAGCTAGGTTGTTGTAGACGAGGCCCTGGAACGACCGAGTCCCTTGGGAGCTGCACCCAGCTGCGCGCAAACAGTGCGGGGAGGCACCCGCAGCCCTTCCTGGGCGCTCCCTGCAGCTGGGCGATGCCGGCCCCCCCCCGATGCCTCTGCCTCCGGGGTGGCTCTCGTGCCCTCCAGGGAAACCCAAGCCTCCGTGACAGCCGGAGAGGTGACTCAGGCTCCACAGCTCAGACGTGGAGCCCAGCGGGCCCTGGCCATTTGGGGTGCGCCCCCGTGCTCTGGGTGTCTGGGAACTGATGCTTAATGACAAAACAGTTTTAAAGCTTGTGCTACCTTGTATTCCCCCGGGGAAGCAAGGAGGTTAATACATCTGGATTGCCCTTAAAATCTCTATCCAGTCTCAAATGTCTCCTATAGGTAGAAGGCTTTTTCTGTTGCTGTTGTTTTGGTTTTAACCACCAAAAAAAAAAAAAAAAGGAGAGAAAGAAAGATAGGAAGAAAGAATCTAACGAGATGGTCTTTTAAACTGTAGCCTGGAAGTATCTAAAGAAAAGTAATCCTGTCCAACTTGCATGGTCTAGATCTCTGCAGAAAACGTTAGTGGCCTTGTAAGACAAATTTTTTTTTTTCCCCAGTTACAGGGGCTCCTGCCCTCCTGCAGTCACTGGCTGTTTCCAACTAGAGCAGCTTCTGGGAGCCACCCAGAGGGAGCAGCTTAGAGAAATGTAATCACTGGCAGCACTTTTGCTAGCTTTGCAGTATCTTAAAGTAGAAGGGGTGGGGGGGAAACCCTCAGCAAAGTCCCTGGCCTTCAATTAAAAAATTCATATTACTTTCCTCATTAGTCCAATCATCTGGTATAGCTATTTCCAAGCTTACCCCAAAGGCCCTGCAGAGCAATTCAATTTCAAGGCCAGCGCAGCGCAGGGCAGAGCGGTGTGCTTGGGAGGAGCTACGCTTCGTGTTGACACGAGGAGCTCATTTGTCTGGCATTAGTCATGAGAAGCAAACGATGTTGACGCACTTTTTGGAAAGAGGATCGCTGGATGAAAGGGAGCTCTGTTGCAAAGCACCTCCCTGGCTGCAAAGGCTGGAGTCGCCTGCTAAGTTTCACCAGCACCAAAACGACTCAGTTCTTGGAGAACCTCCTCAAAGTCAGGTCTTGAACAAGAGGCCTCGCAATGTAATTCTCTCTGCTAATCATCTCCATTACTGTAAGTAGCTGACAGGCTACAACAGAAGTTTAAAGCAGTGGGGGCTAGGAGAACTGAAAGTTTAGTATCCATCTGCTCACCTCCACAACTTCAGCCTTTAAACATCTGCAGTGATTGAGTCAGCCACGCTCCTTGAAAACGAGCCTGTGGCCTTATGAATCTCCTGATGTAGAAGCTGTATTATCTTTTTCTTGATTTCCTTTTACTGCTTCAGCTTAACGTTCTGTATCAGTGAAAGTACAAACAGGTCATCATGACAACGCTGGCAGCAGCTCTTGAGCACAGTGCATGACTTTCTCAAGGCAGTAAAACTTGTAGGGCAATGCACAGTATCTTTTCCTGTGCTATTCTTCATGCTAATCTGTGCTGGGATTGCACAACATACTCCTTTACCAAAGCTCTTGGTGTTACGTTATCTGCCCTGAAAAATTCCTAGGCTTTTATCCCTATATTCCTCTCTGCTTCCCTGCAGTTGTTCTCCTTCACCGTTAAAAGTAAAACCAGTCAGCTTTTTTTCCACCTCTCCCGTCATTTTTATTGTGCTTTTCATATTTTGCTTATTAGGTAGTTACCCTAGGGAGGCTTCCTTTTTATTGGAACATACAAAAAGCTGTAACTGCTCTTAACATTTGTGGGGAGGAGGAGGGAGAAGGTGGCAGGGGAAGCAAATTTAGGCTGAGGTCACAGAAATGTATGTGGTGTGTTCAATGACACGCCTTGCACCATCTCTACTTCTTTTTCCATAAGCAACAAGACATTCTCCCTTGCTTTCTGCTTGTTCCCCAAATCAGCCTACACTGTTAAAAATAACGTACCTGGATGTTTGGACAAAGTTGTTGTGGTTGCTTTAGGAGCAATGTCCATCAGGCTGCTGCTGCTGTGGGGCAGGGGACAGACTAGGTGACTTCCAAAGGTCCCGTCTGCGCTTGTTTTCTAGAATTGCTGTGAAAATAAACCCAAACTCTAGATTTAGGCATTCAGGCATTAGAGTGAAAGCTGACGCCACATCAGAATAAACACCGGCCACCCCACTTTGGGAAGAGTTCTAGCGTGGCTCCCACGTTGATAACGGCTTTAATACCAACAAGCAACCAAACAAAGCTCATTAATGTTCTCTGGGGGGGAGAACAGCAATTCAGGATAATGAGATCCTGGCAGGAGAAATGCTCCTAAAGTCTCAGAGAAGGGACTGCTTGGATATCTTCGAACTCTTGCTCTTGACTGAGCTCTGCTTCAGGCTGGACCGGCTGGCCTGAGCTTCCTGGGTCTAAACCAGCAGGCAACACTGCAAAAGGCATGCCCGTATTCCACCGCATGGTCTGTGAGGGAGCAAAACAGCGCTAGATGGGATTTTCAACGGGCAACAAAGCCAGAACTTTCAGCTCTATAATTTCCCAAAATTCAGATGCTCTTTTTTCTCACATCCTAGGTAAGTACCCTACCCCTCAGACAAGAGAAACAGCCTCTCTCTGGAGGCAAATAGCTATCACATTATTTATACAAAGTGGAACAGCCCCCAGAGGAGAGGCTGAGGCAGACAGACGCAAGTATAGCAGTATAGCTGAGTGTTCAGGGGTATTCACCTGAGAGAGAGAAAAAACTAGTTCGAATTCTCTTCATTTCTATTTATATACAAACAGACATATGTATAGATAAGTATATATACATGTGAAAATCCCTTCATATGTATACATAGATGTATATGTAGGTGTATACATGTGTTTAAATACATCCCTATAAATGAAAGTTGTACGCACATACATTTTATATATGTATACTATGTGAATACATCTTACGCAGATTTTCACCTTGGCCCTAGACGCTTTGTAAGTATAAGTCAGTCCAGTGATTCATTCTTTCAAAAACTTCCAGTTCTAAGTAACCAGAATCAAGTGTGCACTGACACTTTGATAACTCTCCAACATAAAGTACTGGAGCTTTCCTGCATACGCTCATCAGCACTACAGTAACAGAAATCAAACCTGCACCTACGAGGTTCAGCCACTGCTGCATTCGGGTGGCACAGGATGTTCTTTTTCAACAGTGTTACCTGACAAGAAATCAAACCGTACCGTCTTATGCTGCTGCTTTTTCAGGGGATGAATTACATGCCTGTAGAGTCCTACCACGGTCAGTCCCGCTCTACGGATGCTTTTAGCAACACCTGCGGGCCCTGCTGCACACACCAGTTATAATAACGTAATGCTATTTGAAGGGTAACGAACAGGACTACTTTCTGGGGAATATTGTTTCTGTATGAAAATTTCCTCTCAATTCATTTCAGAAAAGCTGTCTCTGATATAGCCCGGGTGCACGCAAGAGAGGAGCAAGATGCCTCACACCAGAGACTCTTCATCTCCGACTAGCAGTGCAGGGAGCAGAGCTTCCTATGAAACACCAGCGCTATCAGACCTCCAGCGGCTCTTTTCGTTCAGAGGAGGGTCTGATAATCATGTGGACCAAGTCTGGCCAAATATTTACCTGGGAGATGCGTAAGAACATACAGTCCTATCATTAAGCTGTTATCGGTCCTTGGGAGGAGGAGGAAGGGGTGTGGTACACTGGGGAGCAGCTTTTGCGTCTGCAGGAATGTTTTTGCGATACAGGCTTCCAAAACTTGTAACATCCTTATGTCAACAAAGACACGACATACAAAATGGTGACTTAGTCATAGCGTGTCTGAGTTGGGTTTTCTGTATTCTGTGAACCACAGCGGATTTGGCAGGGTAAGAATTATTTGTGCTCCAGACAAAAGTCCTTAAAGAACCCATCCCAAATTGGTGTCAACTCTGAGATGTGTTATCTGCCCTGGAAACTGTGCTCTAAGGCAGCAGACGAGCACAGTAGCCCTCACACTCAAATAGGAGTAGCAGGATCAAGAGCCAGATGGAGGAGGACCCAAATGAATTATACAACAGGGATTTTGCCAGTCCAAATCCAAACTTTCTTTCAAAGATGGTAAAACTGAAAATATCAAACAGGAACTTTCATGCAAATACCTTCTTCTTGTGACCACTTCTATTTATTGCCCTTTCCTTCTATTTGGATTGCTGCAGATTACATAGATCACCAGCTCATTTTTCCCACCTCCTCCTCCTCGTGAATACATCAGTTAAGGATCACAGTTTTGCGGAATAACTTCAGTCCCAGCTTATGGTGGGAAGGGGGGAGAACCTGGCTGGTGAGCATGATGCAACCGCTTCATGTCCGAACCAGGAACGAGGTGCTGCTGCAACTGTGTGGGTTCTCACCCTTGCGACCCATGCACGCTATGAATGAGAGATTAGCTCTAGAATTCGCTAAACAACTATTTAAAGGAAAATCTTGACCACTTTATACAGTAAGCCATGTTCCCAGGGATTAACTGCTGGGAGGCATTTGCTTAACTAACAGTATCCCACCGGCAAGTCTGTGCTCTTGCTGCTCTCCGCAACACCATATCACATTTTTCACGTGCAAAGCACTATAATGCTTCTCGAAATTTGCTGCTCTGTAAGCAAGCTGCAGTTCCTGCATCCTTCCCTAGCGGGAGCAGGCACTAACTTTAAACCATGCTATTTTAGCAGAGTGTTAGGAGTGTTGCCAATGAGCCCTTCATGTCTTTCAACAGGTGGGCTGCTAGGAGCAAAACTACTCTTCAAAGCCTCAACATTACTCATATCCTTAATGCAGCAGATGGGCCATATAGCATCAACACAGGAGCCAAATATTACAAAGATCTGCAAATAGAGTACTACGGAGTAGAAGCATTTGATGATCCTTCCTTTGATTTAAGTATCTTCTTCTACGATGCTGCCAATTTCATAGGCAAAGCCTTAAACACTTCAGGAGGTAAGAGGGAGGCAGAGAAGCTTTCGGAGGAAGTTCCAGCACGAGCCAAATGGCTTCTCCTTGCAGTAACAGGCAGCCAGCAAAGCTCAGATTCAGCACACGGTTTGAGAAGGCACACGCAGAACCGCCGTGCGTAGGACGGGAGAAGGGCGCCTGTGCCACACACTGCAGGGAAGGTGGCCGTGGCCAGGTCCCTGGGAGCTGGGGAAGGCTGGCTGCCCCAAGCCCAGCACGGTGGGAGGACGGGCCAACCCTAGGAGCAGAGCGAGAGGGAAGGGCAGAGGTTATGGCACTGCGGGTGCTCCCCCACGGGTCCATCCTGCAGGAACGGGCAGGATCCGTGTGCCTCCACACGCACCTCGCAGCCCTGGCACACCGGCACGGGCTCCGGCCCGGCGATCCTGCCCCCTGTACCGCAGCCCTGCTCCCGCTCCCGATGCACTCAGCTGGGAGCAGCGGCACTTCAGCGCTGGCTTAAATGCTTCACATGCTCAAGTGCTTCGCAGAACTGGAGCTTTATTCAGACTGTCTATTAAGCTAGAGAAGCAGCAGAAGTTAATGAACTAAGTCAAAAACTACGAGCCTGACCCACAGCCTGCTGAATTTTTGTCAACAGAGTTTGGATTATGGCCTAGTTATCATAATTTCCATTTGTTCCAGAGTTTGCTCTGACTCTGACTGGCTGCGAGACCTGCTGCTTTCACTGGAGTGCTTTATTAAACCCTCAGTTATAGCTCACGCTGGGCTGCTGAGATACAGTAAATGATGAGTGCATTTTTACAGGCAGACTATCCTACAGAGTTTATGGGACTTGTCAGTCGTCACAGTCAGGGCTGGGCCAAAATTTTTTGCCAAAACTTCCCCACCCCCCGCAGAAAACTATACTAACAAGTTTAGTCACAGAAAGCTTCTCCTTCCACAGAAAATTTCAGCTACTTTAATCTGAGGCTTAAGCTAGACGCTTGAGGTCAGCATGAAACACCACCTTGCCTGAGATGTTTGACATGACCTTATGCTAACGTCCCTGAAAACACGAGTATCTGCTAATTGTCACCGTTGTCTTCCCAACTTGTTTCTGGTAGTTTTTGTCCTCCCTGCATCTTTCTCACTTTAGAAATGCTAAAGCCCACTCACCTTGCTGTGCCTCTTTTTTTTCTGCAGGTAAGGTGTTTGTTCATTGTGCCATGGGGGTGAGCCGCTCTGCGTCTTTAGTGCTCGCCTTTTTAATGATCCATGAAAACATGACACTGGTGGATGCTCTGAAAACAGTGAGTGCTCACAGAGACATCTGCCCAAATTCAGGGTTCCTCAGCCAGCTCCGGGACTTGGACATTAAACTAAACGAAGAAAGGAAAGGAACCAGAGCATCTGCTACTAAAGAGCTGTAAGAGAGTATGGCTGAAAGAGAGAGGACAAAGTGTTATTTGTGGTTCCTACATCTCTTTTAAATGAATTGCATTTGTAAACTATGGACGCAAGTTTACGATACACCAGAATGCATGTTATTACTAAAAGTAGATTTTACTTGATCTTTCCATTTTGCAAAGCCCGCCTAGATTATACTTATGATTGGTTGCATGTTGTATCCTTCACTCTCCACCTTAAAACATTGCTCTCTGCTGGTAAAAAAAAAAAAAAAAAAAAAAAGAGATCAGGTTCCACTTCAGAAATAGCTGTGTTTCAGCAACTAGTGAAGCTCATATCACTTTATGAAGTGTTAGGCTATTTGAGGTGAAAGATGTCATATTATTTATGCTACAGTAATGCTTAGAAGTTTTCTTATGAACCAGCCCCTCACCCCTTTGCTCCCCGTATCTAAAATGGTTTGTATTTTGAGACCTGAATCTGGCACTGGTTAGTTCCTCCTTTTACAATTGGTGGAGCCCCTGAGTTGGGGGTAAGAGGCTGTTTAAAGGCAGAGCAGCTGGGAAACAACACAAGCCACTCTAAGAAACTATTCCAGCTCTCTCTATAGTGTTTTCCCTTTGACTGTTCATCAGATAATTTTTTTTTTCTTCCATGAAAATACCTTTGTTCGAGAGGGCATTCAAATGTTGTTCACCTTCCCTAGTAAAATTCATCCAGGAGGTGCTGTGGAAAATGCTTCCGAAGAGGAGGGTGGGTTCCCAGCTGAGGCTCCAAACAGCTGCATGGGCAGTGGGAGCGGGTGCAGGAAAGCATTTGACGACAAAGTTCAACGTGCCCCAAATTTGCCTGAGAGTTCAACGTTATAAAACTTGGGATTTTCTTTCTCAGAAATAAAGGTCATTAACATCGCAACATCGTGTTCCGTGGCATTTGCTTTTGTGAGGGGACTCGGGTGAAAACTGAAGGGACACACGAATGGCAAGGGAGATGCTGACAGGCATCAGGCTTTCATCTTTGCGTCTCTGGGCCACCATAAGAGCGCTCAATAGCTACTGTCATCTGATGGATCAGTGCTGCCTGGAAACTATGTGAAGCACATCTGGCTCTCGGTTCCCAGCAGACAAACATTCGCAGCATAAAGCCAGCTCGGGGATGGCAGTTGTTTGCATTCCTAGTACCAAACTCAGGAATGCAAAGGCATGAATACTCCCCACCGTGTGAGCTGGCTGCTCAAGAACAGCAACAAGGAAAAACATTCCTTGCCATTCCCGGTGCTGTGTACGAGGCAGATTTCTGCCTTCAGGACGGACAACTCCGCACCTTTTATAATGCTCTTTGGCGGTATCTACATCTCCTACGTGGGCCAGGCTATAGGAGCGAGAGCACAAGGCAGAGCATTTGGCACTGAGGACCTGACCCTCACACCGAGGGCATCTCAGCGGGTTTTGCTTTGGACTAACCCTGTGGATTGGACATCCCTGAGCAGCAGGAGAGCAGTGCTGGAGCGCTTCTTTGCTTTACCTCCCTGCACAAGGAAACCTGCTCACGAGCTCCGGGGCTGCTCTGCAAGGTCAACAAAAACACAGCAAGTAGGAACGGTCAGCTTAGAAGTATGCTTCAGACCCAAATCAAAGTTTAACACGCGTGTCTCAGTTACCAATTAACTCTAAAAAACTGATTTCAACAAGTGAGGGGAAAATATCTCAGTGGATCCTGCCACAGAGATGCCCCAAGCGCAAGAGCCGCGTTCCCTTATGCTTCCCACCTACAGGAAAACTCTCCTCGCCTTTAGCAGCAGGACTGAGGCCAGCCAGCCATTTTCGGCCGCAGAGCGAAGGGCGCAGCTGAAGGTGCACTCGCTGGGGGTAGGAGAGCACCCGCACACTAAACGCATTTCACGCCACACGAAAAACTTACCGCGCTTTTAAAATACCGGTTGGTGCAACCGGAAAACCTGCACAGGGCTGTAAACGCCGCAGAATAACACACAGAATGCAATTTC